ATACATACATATATGTGTGTATATTAATTATTTAATACTTCCGACATTATTTGTTTGTTTGTTTTTTGAGACAGAGTCTCGCTATGTAGTTCAGGCTGGCTCTAAACTCAATATGTAACCCAGGCTGGCCTTCAACATGCAGGACCAATCTTGCCTCAGTCTCCTGAGTGCTGGGATTATAGGTGTGCACCACCATGCCCAGCTCTTTGAACAATCTTATGAGGTAATATTTCCCATATTTACACAGAATGAAATTTAGACCCAAAAGTTATTTCAGTTGCCTGAGTTCAAACTATAAAGTGGTAAAGCCGAAATTTTGAACGCAGGCATTCCATCTCTAATGGATAAGTGAAGGTGTTACCCTATATCGCCTCTGTAACCTAGTTTCATTGCCATCCTCCTTGCTTTCTCTGATACATCTGCCCATTCATCGATTCTATCATTGTTTCTAAGAGCCAGTTTGCGTCAAGTGTTACATTCCTGAGGCGAGTCTGTTCTCATCTGCAACCTTTAGTTTTGTATTAGGACCTGTCTGTTCCAGGGCTTCTCTTTAATACTCCTCCAAGTCTTCCCTGACATGGATGTAGCCCCAAGGTGGAGATTCTTGAGAGAATACTAATTTAATTCTTTAGCTCTTTGCCAGAGATTCTGGCCAACTTCTCTTCCCTGTAACAGTTTTGGTTCCCAGTTCTGTTTTATTGACACTGGTATAGGCAACTAACTGCAAATGCCAAATATGGTTCCCAAGTTTTACTCAGCTGTTATGTATGTGAAGTAGTTACTATCATCACCAATCCAAAATTAACATTAAGGCTGAGGGTAATTGGTTTGAATATCCAATATTAAATTATTACACAGTTAACAAATAGCAGAACTGCCCTTAAGTCTTAGTTCTTTTTTTTTTTTTTTTTTTTTTTTTTTTTTTTTTTTTTTTTTTTTTTTTTTTTTTTTTGGTACCAGAGATTGAACTCAGGTCCTTGTGCTTGTGAGGTAGGTGGCAGAACCACTGAGCTAAATCCCCAGCCCCTAGTCTTAGTTTTTTCAGATTCATGATATAACTAATAGAGTACCAGGCACATATCATTGACCCATTACTACTTTCTTCTTTCTTTTCTTTTTCTTCAGTGGTACAGATCAAGCTCAGTCAAGTGCTCTACCCAGAGCTATATTCCCAGACTTCTTATATCTTTCTGAATAGACATACTGGTTAAGTGTATGAGGAGATGACATAAATGTGATTACAAAAATCTCAGACTCAGGAGGCTGAGGCAGGAGAATCACCTCAGGTTCAAGGCAGCCAGGGCTAAATAGTGAGTTCAAAGCCAACCTGAACTATATAGCAAGACCCTGTCTCAAAAAAAAAAAAAAGTGATTACAGAGACATATGGCAAGAAAAAAAATGTATGAAATATTTCAGAGTATTTGTGTAATTAGAGGTGCATTTTAATAATATATATGTTGTATGTCTTGAAGATGGAGTAGAATACATGAGATTTTAAAGACAAACCATTTTTGCACCTACTTTTTTTCCCATCACAATTTCCAAGTAATTTAGGCTATTGAACTTATAAAAAGACCTTATTGAAGTCTTGGGCAAGTGCTGCTGTAAGTGGGAGAGGTCTTAAGAGGAATTTAAGGAATGGTGTTGGAAATACCCTTAGTATGCCAAATATAAACTCTTCAGGGAAGCTGAGATTTAAGTAGTTTTCCTACTTTACAATATTACTGGTTACTTTTCTGAGTCAAGGAGGGAAACGTGAAAGCTTCCTTTCATATCAAAGTGAAATGTTATTTCTTTGAGTTAGATTTTCAGTGAAAAGGAAAAGGAGAAAAATATGAAGAATTTATGC